ACTACTAACTACTACTAACTACTACTACTACTACTACTACTACTACTACTACTACTACTACTACTACTACTACTACTACTACTACTACTACTACTACTACTACTACTACTACTACTACTACTACTACTACTACTACGACTACCACTACACTACCACTACCACTACCACTACCACTACCACTACCACTACCACTACCACTACCACTACTACTACTACTACTACTACTACTACTACTACTACTACTACTACTACTACTACTACTACTACTACTACTACTACTACGATCTACGCATCATCATGATTAGGTTCCTCATCATCCTCATCGCCATCATCATCAAACTCATCCTCACCATCATCATAAGAACCACTTTCAACAACGGCATCAGCATCATCAGCATCATCATCGGCAGCATTGTCCTCATCAGTATCGTCATAACCATACTCAGCATCGTCATCATCATCAGCAGCAGCATCATCATCATCATCATCAATAGTATCATCATCACCATCACCATCAGCATTGTCAACATCATCAGCAGCATCGTCATCACCAGCATGATCGTCATCGCCATATTCATCTTAATACAAAACATCATCATTATCAGCAGCATCATCAGCATCATCAGCATCATCACCAGCAGCAGCATCATCATCGTCGAAATGTTTCTCAGATTCCTCTTTAAGGTATCCATCAATTACTTAGCCTCTTCCCATGTATTATCCTCCTCCTCCTCCACGATATTCCCCTAGCCCCCCCAAAAAAACTCCTCCGCCAGAAGAAAATCGTATGATCTGTCGGGAGTCCCCCCATGATCCTCGCGAATGAGCGCAGCCAAGAGCTTCCGCGGGGGCGGCCTGGGCTGACCCGCGGTGGGTGCAAGAGGAAGGGAGGAGAGGGGAGAAGAGAAAATGATGAGAAACGCGAGGCAAGAGAAAGGAAGATGGAACGGTTCTTGTCTGGCGCTGGCACCCAACTGGTAGCAGTCTTGGAAGGGTCGCCGAAACTGACTCGACGTTGGAACGCCGTGGCCATAGGCGGCCGTCACGGACGCGTCGTCAAAACGTCGTTGGCATCCCTGTACGGGGAGGGCACACAGGCGCGAGAGAAGAGGAGAGGTAGGAAGGAAGGAGGGCGAAAGGGTGGGAGGAATACAGGAAGAGAGAAACAGGGGCCGGATTGGCGAAAGCGGAGACTGTGGCAGGGGGCAAAAGGGTATGAGAGCCTAAACCACTCTAGAATCCGCAGGATGATGACGATGACAAAAAAGGGGACTCCCTCCAGAGGCCGACCCCTCCCTCTCGCCCGCAAGTGACGCCAGTGCACGCCATCATCTTGACAATGTAACAAGTGGTGAGGGAAGGATGAGGATACACAAAAGCACACTTTTGGCATCGCGGCCACGCGGGCGTCGGCGCGACGTGGACAGTCGAGCGGGGGCGACGGCGCAGCGCGGCGGGGGGGCCAGGGATCCGCCCTCAGGGGATCGACAGGGTCACTCGCGCGGGGACGCACCAGATAGGCAAGGCGCACAAACACATACTTTTCGGTCGCTGCGGCCCGGAGACTCGCCAGGGCGTCGGGCGCCCGCGCAGCCAGAGCCGCGCGCGCACGCAAAGACAGCGAAAGCGGCTGGCCCCTCACGGGGCAGCGGCTGGGCGGCGGCGGGGCAAGCAGCGGGCAGAAGCCGCGGGGGCGGCGGAGCGGCGAGCGGGGCAGGGGCCGCGGGCGGCGGAGGCGGGGCCACGCCAGGACGGGCAGGCGAAACAGAGCGGCTCGCGGCAGCGGGGCCGAAGCGCCTCGCCAAACTTGGGCGGGCAGGGAGCATCGGCAGGGAGCCAATGGGCGGGCGGCGGCAGCCAGGAGAAGCTACGGCGCACTGACGAGTCCAGCAGGGCCGAGGGCAGGGGGGCGGTGCGGGGCGGAGAGGGGCCGGGGGGCCGCGCCAGAAGGCGGGCACAGAGCGGCCCGGAGAGCAGGGCCAGAGGGGCGCCCAACTGGGCGAGACCCCATCTGTAGACTGGGAAGGGCGGCCAAGTGGCCAGAGAAGCGCGGCGGGCCGCCAGGAAAAGAAGCCGAGAGGCTGCGGAAGGACCGCGCGCCGACAGCTCGGAGACCGCGGACAGCAGCGGGCCGCGGCGGGGGGGGGCGGGGAGCGGGCCCAGGGGCGGAGGCAAGCCGACGCAGCGATCGGCGCCGACAGGCCCCCAACGGATCGACCGCGGCGGGCGCGCAGAGAAGAAAATCTCAACCGGCGCGCCGAGGCCACGGCCGACTGGGGACTGAGCAGAGGCAGAACGCGACGGACAGACAGCGGGCCACCCAGCCGAGCCGGCAGTCCCACGGCAGGGGCTGGAGACGAGCCGACCCTGCACCGTCGCCGGGCATTGGCGACGCGGGATCGACAGCGACGGGCCCCCGGCGGAGGGCGGGCGGGGGCGAGCAGCAAAAGCGAAGGCGAGGCCGAGCCGGGGCGAGGCGGCAGACCAGTGGAGGGTGGCGGCGGGGCGGGCAGGCATCCCAAGGGGCGAGCCAGAGCTACGCCACGCGCCAAAGGCGGGCAGATCCGCGCCCGAGGCCTCAGCAGCAGCGAAGTGCCGACGCAGGGCCAGCAGCGACACCAGGGCAGAGGCGACGCAGGGTCGACGCCGAGGGGCTCCCAGCGGACCGCTGGACGACCGCGTCGGGCGACGCAATGGGGCCACCGCAGGCTCGGCAAGACCAGGGCCGGCGCAGGGCGGGCCGGCGGCGGGTAGCGCAAAAGGGGCAGAGCCCAGCCGGGGCGAAGCGGCAGACCCAAGAGGGCGGCGGCGGGCGGGCGGCCAGCCCAAGGAGGCAAAGACGCGCCCAGCGCCACACGCCAAGAGCGGGCAGATCCGCGCTCGAGGCAACAGGGGCGAAGAGCCGGACAAGCGCGCCCTCGGTCACTGGCCTGATCGCCCGCGCTCTAGCCCCTCGTTGAAAGCCACGCGGGAGGCATTCTTCGTCCCCGCCCTGCTCGGGCCAGCGGGCGGGCGGGGTGAGCCGAGCGGGGTGGTGACCACGATGCGCTGGCGCTCTTCATCGCAAGCTCCGTCGCCATCGCCCTGCGCGAAGGGATTGTCGGCGATGCGAAACAAGTTAATGCCGTCGAAGCTGTAGATGGCGCTGCGGTCGGGAGGCGCGCAAGGGCAGCGCGCAAGGGGCTGCGGGGTGCGACGGACGCGCGGCCTCGAGGCTGAAACCAATTGGGCAGCCGTGGACCCCACAGGGCTTGAGCCAGAAGGCTACGGAGCACACACACACACACACACACACACACACACACACACGCACGCACGCACGCACGCACGCACGCACGCACGCACGCACGCACGCACGCACGCATGGAGGGGGGGAAGGAAGGTGAGAGTAGGAACAGATGCTGACGCCCCCAAGAAGGGCGGCGCTGGTTGTCGCCAAGGCGCTGGCTGACCGCGCTACGGCTTGCAGAGAGCGAAAGGCCAGCTGCCTGGGCTGAACCAGCGCCGCCGAGCAGACCAGCTGCGCAGCGGAGGTGTCCGCGATCTGGATGTGTGCCTGGCCGGCCCTGCATCCCGTCCGCCTCCACTGCCTCGCCCTCGCCCTCGCCGCCCACGCCCAGGTCGCTCAAGAGAAAGAGCCCAAATCTCCGACGATCTGATAATGGCTCCATCCGGGCGGGTCTTACTGAATTTCGGCCTCTGGGGCTCGTTTCTGGGCCACCAGATCACCAAAAGTTGATCTGGGGCGAAAAAAACACCCACTGCAAAACGATCGGGGCCTCTGAGACTGCGGCATGAAAAAATTAGCCTGGCGAAGAACCCAACCATATGCAATGTGGGTACCGCAGGTGCGGGTATCGTCTTCCGTGGAGCTCCCTCTGGGGCCACCAAACGCTGTACTGGGCGGGTGAACCCCAACCGAGGCCCGCCATTGAGACCTTCGGTAGAACTCCCTCTGGGGCCACGAAACGCTGTGCTGGGCGAGGAAACCGCATGCGAGTTCCGCCACTGGGACCTTCGGTGAAGCTCCCTATGGGGCCACGAAACGTTGAACTGGGCGCAGGAACAACATGCGAGTTCCGCCACTGGGACCTTCGGTGGAGCTCCCTCTGGGGCAACGAAACGCTGTACTGGACACAGGGATCGCATGCGAGTTCTGCCACTGGGACCTTCGGTGGAGCTTCCTATGGGGCCACGAAACGCTGTACTGGGCGCAGGCAGGAACCGCATGCGAGTTCCGCCACTGGGACCTTCGGTGGAGCTCCCAGTGGGGCAGAAACTCTGCACTGGGCGCAGGAAACGGGTGCGAGTTCCGCCACTGGGACCTTCGGTGGAGCTCCCTTTGGGGCCACGAAACGCTGCGCTGGGTAGGGAAACCGCATACGGACTGCGCCCCTGGGACCTTCGGTGGACGTCCCTTCTGGGGCCACGAAACGCTGTACTGGGCGGGGGAAGCGCATGCGGACTGCGCCACTGGCACCTTCGGTGGAGCTGCCTCTGGGGCCACCAAAAACTGTACTGGGCGGGGGAACCGCATGAGAGGCCCGCCACTGAGACCTTCAGTAGAACTCCTCTGGGGCCACGAACCGCTGTGCTGGGCTGGGAAACCGCGTGCGAGTTCCGCCACTGGGACCTTCGGTGAAGCTGGGCCACGAAACGCTGCACTGAGCCAGGAATCCGCACACGGACTGCGCCTCTGAGACCTCCGGTGGAGCTCCCTGCGGGGCCACGACACGCTGCACAGAGCGGGGGAACCGCATGCGAGTTCTGCCACCTGGGACCTTCGGTGGAGCTCCCTCGGCGCCCCTGGGGCCTTCGGTGGAGCTCCCTCCTGGGGCCACGAAACGCGGCGCTGGGTGGGGAAACCGCATACGGACTGCGCCCCTGGGACCGTCGGTGGAGCTCCCTTCTGGGGCCACGAAACGCGGCGCTGGGTAGGGGAAACGCTGTACTGCGGAATTCGCATGCGGTTCCTGCGCATGCGGACTGCGCAGGAACCGCATGCGAATTCCGCCACTGTGACGTTCGGTAGAGCTCCCCTTGGGGCCACGAAACGCTGTACTGGGTTGGGGAACCGCATGCGAACTGCGGAGGAGGGAGAAGGGGAAGGAGGGAGGAGGGGGAGGAGGAAGGAAGGAGGGTCGTGGGGCGCTGTCTCTTCAAAACGAGCACACAACACCACAGGATGGTTGGGAAAAACATGTCGGCGGATGTCAGGGACTGGATGAGAAGAAGACCAACGCGGCTTGTTCCCCCTCCTCCTCCTCCTCCTCCTCCTCCTCCTCCTCCTCCTCCTCCTGCTTGTCCTCCTCCTCCTCGTCTCTGACCAATTCACGCGTACATTAGCGGAAGAGGAGACGTGGAAAGAACGAAAGGAGAAGGACAACAAGTATGAGAAAGACGAAGAATAGAGTTACGAAGCGTGTGCAGAGATCACGACTGGATCCCTAGACCCAATTTTTCTGTCGCTGTCTTCGAGTCAGATCTAAATATCATGGCCCCAAATTTTCGATACTGGGCGAAAATACCCGAATGCCCAGTGTGAATAAAATGCTCGGAACCATATGGCATATTCAACGCGTTGTGCCTCCCCCGTGGTCAGCCGTGACCCCTAACCCTGCACCACACCGTTCCCATGGACGGTGAAACCTGGTTCTGGGCACAGCGGGAGGCTCTGCCGCGGACGTGCATCCGTGCGATGTCTGGGCTGACTGCCCCTTGCTGCTGCTACTTGCAGCTGGGAGTTTGATACTTGCATGGTGCAAATGGCTGGTTGCTGCTTGCTGCTTGCTGCTTGCTGCCTCCTGCTGCTGCTACGTACAGCACAATATGCTGGAGAGGGGGAAGGGCAGGACAGGGAACTTGCTGGCCTGGGCACGGTGCAGGCGATGAGAATGAGGATGGCACATTGGAGGGTGGGGAGCGCGACGGCCTCCTGGAGCCTCTGCCGCAGCTCGCGGATCTCCTCGCGCGCGGCACGCTGCATCGCCAAATGCTGCTCGCGCAGGAGGTTGAGGTCCTCCTGGCAACCACCCCTCTCTGGCGCTGCATCCTTTCTCCCCCTGTCTCGCCACTTGGTGTCGGTGGCGTCATCAGAAGCCACCTGGCCTTCTGCGACACCCTCCGAGGCTTCGGGGAAGGCCCAAAAAGCCTCTCAGGAGGCCGGAAGCCCTCGGAGCTCTCTCAAGAAGCCCGCTCCCCCTGCCCTCCCTCCTGGGCGCGCCGCCGATGATGTCTTCCGCTCCGCTGAATGCCGGAGGTGGAGGAGGGGCAGGAGGAGGAGGAGGAGGAAGAGGAGGAGGAGGAGGAGGAGGAGGAGGACCTCCTCCTCCCCCTCCTCCACCCCCTGCTCCTCCTCTGGCCCTGCGCTTCCCGACCGCGCTGCTCTCCGAAGCCTCCGTTCGCGGGCTTCCCCGCCTCGCTGGCTGCTCCTGCCCCCCCCCCCCCTGGGGAGGCAGCTCCCGCTCGCACTCCGTGGCCGTAGGGGGCGATCTGAGCTGCGCCCGCGCTGGGAACCACGGCGTGCTTCACTAACGGATCAGAGGCCAAACGGCACCACGACCTGCCCTGCGACGCCACGGAGGACAACGGCAGAAATGGGATGCCGAAGTCGCACAGCCCCTACGCACAATCGCCACGCACGACGGCGGCGAAGACCACAAAAGGTGGATAACACTGCGACAGACAAGGAAACTTGGTCGGCAGGATGCGAAACTCCAACACCGAGGCCTAAGTCCTCCCCTCCTCCCTCCCCCCTCGATCAACATTGCATGAGCGGGCTAGCGCGGCCGCAGAGATGCACCAGCCAACGCCAAACACTCATCGCAATCGCCGTCGCATAGGTTTTGTAAACCAAGTTGCGGGTGGGTGGGTGGGATGTTTGCGTGAGCAGTGGAGTTGACAACTTCAACTTCGGCAGGGTGAATTGCACCGCATAGATTGCTCCACATAGGTAGCACCACGGCCAGTGCTGGACACAAACAGTTTGGGATCCACACTGCCTAAGATTGTTCATAAAATTGAATGGAGGAAAAAGAGGAGGAGGAGGAGGAGAAGGAGGAAGAGGAGGGCCCGCGAGCCCCCCGGGCGCTCCTGAAGCCACGACGAGTCAGCATTTGCGACGTCGGCGCGCCAGCCCTCCAGGCCTGGCGCCTGGCAAGCGCCGCCGTCGCCATCGCTCTCCCTCATCCTCCCCCTGCCCCAATCACGCTCCTCCTCCTTCCTCTACTCCTCCTCCTTTGCAGCCTCCTCCTCCTCCTCCTCATCCGCCTCCTCCGCCTCCCCCTGCTCCTCCTATTTCTCCTGGTCCTCCTGGTCCTCCTCCTGGTCCTCCTCCTGGTCCTCCTCCTGGTCCTCTTCATGGTATTTCTCGCACTCGTCTTCTCATTCGTCGTTGTATTACTCCTTTGGTGGTATTCTTCGTAATCGTCGACACACTGCTCTCCTTCACCATGTTGTCATTACTCTTCAGTTTACTACCCTCACCAAATGTTACGATTATGAATAGTATGATCAGTCTGCCTACTGGTAGTCATATCATTAACATTGGCGCTACTCGTTCTCGAATGCTATGATTTGTGTCTCCGTACTCTGCATACACGTCTGCCCATATTATTCACCATCGTACCAACAATATTAACATTACTAGCGTATAAACATTGTTGGTACAATAATACGATCCAGATCAATACTACGATTATGGTAAGTATGATTGCCAAAGATATTGGTAGTTCCGGTAGCAGGATCAGGATCACTATTATGATTGTACAGGTTAGTAGTAACACAACTGAATGTAAGTGCATTAGTGTTGTCCATAATAATAATAAAGATATGCATGTTAATTATGAAACCATCACAGCAACGAGCTATAATATTACTAACCATCCTGCTCTTGAGCACGTGCACCATCATCAGCAGAATCGTCATCAGCATCAGCATAGCCATCGTCAGTATCACCATCACCATCATCAGCACCATTATCGTCACCCTCGTTATGTCATCGCCATCACAATCATAATCGTAGCCGTAATCCTCATTATCACCATCGTCTTCATCATCATCAACAGCAGCATCATCGACATCGCCACCATCATCATCAGCAGCATCATCACCACCATCAGCATCACCATAACAACCACCACCACCATCATCATCATCAGCGTCATCCCCAGTGTCATCTTCATCAACACCAGCATCATCCAGATCACCCACAATCAGCATCGCCATCCTCATCATATTGGCATCAATTTCGTCATCATCATAATCCATCCCACCAGACTCCCCCTCCAGTTGATAGATACCTCTGGGCACCAAGACGTCCATCGCGCGACCCTTCGAGTCTTAGCGCGCTTCCCGTCAGCCGCTAGCCCTCAACCCGGCGCAACCCGCCACCCTATATTAGTGAGAACTTGATTTGATACGATGCAGATTCAGCCACGACGTCCAGCTCGCTCCTCGCACCTCGAAGACGCTTCCCGTCATCCGCCAGGTCCCCGCCAGGTCCCCGATCACGAAGCAATCCCGCACATTCGCCCCCCAGACCCCCCCCAGTTGATATGTCCCTCTGGGCGCACAGACGTCCATCGCGCGACTTTTCGAGTCTTAGCGCGCTTTTTTGGAAGCGCAACCCCAGATCAAGAGGTCTAGCGAGCAATCACAAGGCCAACCGCGTGGTCAACCCGCGCGCGCGCATCCGCAGATGCTACATACGGAGCGCACCACCCACTGGTGGAAGACTCGCACATCAGCACCTGGCCCTCTGACCAAGGGAGTGGCGGCATGCAAGGAAACTCAAACGGCGCAACGCTGCAGGCGCAGAGAAGCATAGAACAGCGATGCTGTGGCCGCCCCTACCAGCAGCGCAAAGTCGGCAACACTCCAAGACGGCGAAACGAGGGCGGCGGACAGTCAGATGGACCACCTGTCTGCGGGCTGCGGGCCGAGCCAAACTCAAAGTCACCAACGCAGCAGGCCTGGGGACAGGGAAAAAGCAAGAGACACGCCAGCGTTGGAAAAAGAAACACAAAAATACATTGTGCAACAGCTGAAACCTCACCAGGGCGAGCGCAACAGTACCTGGCCGAGTCTAAGCACTGCGATCACTGTCGGTTCTCACGAACCACGGAGGAAAACTGCACCAGCTTCCCATCCTGCTTGATCCAAGGGTCACTTTTTTTTGTTCAGGGAACCCGCAAGGCGCCACATGTCTCCAGTCCGACCACCATTCACACGCAACCTCAGCTAGCCTGCCAGGCCCGAAGCGAAACTCTGGGCACGCACAGTGAGGGAAAAACGTCTTATTCAAACCCATATAAGACGAAAGGGCATTGGCGCCGCGTGGGCAACTACCCCAAGTGGCTTCACACAACGGCACAAGAGAGGATAACTCTCCGCGCAAAGTGAGTAATGCATGCGGCGGCGTGCCTGAAAGAAAACCCCCCAAAATCCTATCAATAGAGGCGGCAGCGGGAAGCGGGAGAGGACGAGGGGCAAGGAAAATGGAATGGACTCCAGGTCACAGCCAATGGCTCCACTGGCGGGCCAAACACACTGCTTGATCCAAGGGTCACTGAATTGGTTGGTGTAGTCGACCGCAAACCACCGGATGTAGGCACACGGGAAGCCAAGCCACTTGGTCACTGTCGGGTCCCACACGGGCCATCTGGCGCGCGCGATGTCCGCTTTGTTGCACAGCCGGGGACAGGCCTTGCTTAGGGTCCTCAACTCCGTTGCGTCGAGGTAGCAGATACGTCGGTCCGTAGTCTGACGTTTAGCGTACACGATGGCCTGTGGCGTCGGGATCACCCTGAGCCCCCTCCAGCCAAATGACCGGGCTACAGCAAAACAAGGAGATGATCGAGGCCCCGCCGCATCCCAACACTTGGGCACCACGCGTATCCCGTGGCTGTTGCAACTGCTGTGTCGCCGAGTTGAGCAACCCCATAGGGTCGACCTGCCACAAAGCCTTGGCCTTCATAGAAATCGGACCACGACCACGCTCGCCCTCTGGCGGGAATGGCACGGCAGGCACGGTGATCGCTTCTGATGCTGTGCACTGGCTCGCCCCCATCATCGGTATCATGTGACAACACGGAGCTCCACGGCGATCGTGTCGTCACCGAACGCTCGGCCCTCCAGCGCGAGTAACTTCGGCTAGCGATCGCGGAAAGAAGAAGGAGAAACGAAACATGTCCCGCCATCCCTCTGGGCACGTCACCCGTAGCAACATGGCGAAAAGAACATGTCCCAGTTGATATATACTTCTGGGCACCCAGACGTCCATCGCGCGACTCTTCGGGTCTGAGCGCGTTTCCCGTCATCCGCCAGGTCCCCGACAACGAGGCGCCAACGCGCGTTCCCCCCAGACCCCCCGAGTGATCTTGGGCACCCAGACGTCCATCGCGCGACTCTTCAAGTCTTAGCGCGCTTCCCGTCATCCACTAGCCCTCAACCCCGTGCAACCAGCCACCCTATATCAGTAGGAATTTGATTATGTAAGAAGATTCAGCCACAACGTCCAGCTCGCTTCTCGTACCTCGAAGACGCTTCCCGTCACCTTTTTGGGAGCCCCCTGGGGGCTTCTGTGACCCTCTTGGACTGTCTTGGGGCTCTCTGTGGCAGTCCCGGGGCCTCTTCAGGCGCTCTTGGAAGCTTCTGGGCGCCCCTTGGGGGCCTCTTGGGGGTCTCTTGGGCTGCTTTGGGTGTCCTCTGGGGAGCCTTCGGGGGCTCTCTTGGGCCGTTTTGGAGCCCTCCAGGAGCGATTCCAAGATGATGTGGTTTCGGAGCCCCCTCCGGAACCTATTATTTAAGGATGTCTCGAGCGAAACGACCATTTTTGCGGAACCTGATCGGACAAGAACGGGAAGCGCCGCTTCAGTCGAATGGGCGCATTGGGCGAAGAAGAAAAGGGCGGCGAGGGCAACGAGGAGTCGATGACGAGGACGACGCGGCGAACGTGAGGATAGCGAGGGGGGGCACGAGGACAATGAGGAGGAAGAGAAGCACAAGGACGAGGACGAAGAGAAGGAGGGCGAGCACGAGGAGGAACGCGGAGGGCGATGACGACGACGACGACGACGACAGAGGACAGTAAGAGGCAATTGGAGAAGGACGTTGCTCCTGGCGCCGCGCGGGGTTATCTTGGGGCCTGTTGGGGGTTTCTTGAGGGCCTCTTGGGTCCTTTCATGGGTTTCCGGAGTCTTCCAGGGCTGTCTGGGCGCGTCGTGGGGGCTCGTGGGAGCTTTCATAAGCCGTCTCGGCGCCATCTTGGGCCGCCTTGCGGCTTTCTTGGGCCGTTTGGGGGCCTCCTCCCGGGAGTCTGTTGGGGCCTTTTTGGCCCTTCTCGGGCCGTCCTGGGGTTCTTGTGAGCTGTCTGGGTGGCTCCTGGAGCACTCTTGGGGGTCTCTTGGGGTCTTCTCGGGGCGCTCTTGGGCGTTCCTGGGCGCCCTTGGGTGCTCCTGGGGCTCTCGAGGGCGTCTTTGGGGCCTCCCTTGGGCCGTGGGAAAGCCCTCCAGGGGCGATTCGAACACGACGTCGATTCGGAGCCCCCTCTTGGGCCGATGTTTGGAATATGTCTCGAACGAAACGGCTATTATTCAAAAATCCGCCAGCGCGGTTCCAAAGCGCGCCCCGCACCCGGGTCCACCAACAAAGGGTCCACGCCAAGGGCGCTTCCCGTCAACCTGAGAAACCTGCAAAAACCATTGAAAAATGGATAACGGTTGCATCTTAGGGCCAATGTTGGGACGCTGTCTTGCAGGCCTCTGGGGGCGTGCGGAGTGCTATTGGATCGTTTTGGAGGCCTCTCGGGTTGTCTTGGCAGCATCTTGGGGCCCAGGGCTAGGAGTGATCGTTCGGGTACCACGTCGGGGCCCCCTCGTGGAGCCGCCATGACAGCCGCTGAAGCCGTCTATGAGGCCTCTTGGGCCATCTTGGGGACGTGAGGTGGCCCTCTTGGCCGTCTTGGGGCGAGCTTGGGAACGTTTTGGGCCGTCCTTGGGCGGTCTCAGGGGCCTCTAGGGCCGCCCTGGAGCGACGGGGAGCCCGAAACGGGCAAACCTCAAATCGAGAAAAAAAAAAAAAAAAAAAAAAAAAAAAAAAAAAAAAAAAAAAAAAAAATGGGAATGAACGATGTTTGCCTCTTGGGGCCCGTC